ATAATTAAAAATTTTTAACAACCTTTTTACTTATTGTATTTATATTTTATAAAATTAAGTGATAATAATTAATGTATAACAAATTAACTTTCATAATTTTTTAATTAATTATAAAGATGAATTAAATTAGGTAGATTTTTAGTTGGTTAAAAATGTAATTATATATATTATCATAGCATATGTAATTTTAAAGGGATAAATGCTAATTTTGATTCCTCAATTTTAAGATTTTACATAATTTGTCCCTTAACTTTTTTTCTGCTCATTTTGGTCCCTCAATTATAAGCAATTTACATTTTTTGTCCTTTTAGCAATGTGCTAAAGAAACTTAATTGATAGAAGAACTAAAAATGTACATTATTCATAGTTGAAGGACCAACATGAGCAAAAAAAAGTTGAGGGATGAAAATTGTATAAAATCATAAAGTTGATGGACCAAAATTGATATTTATAATTCTAGTGCTTGTTATATAATATGAAGATATTATTGAATTGTTAAGGCACGTACCACTTAATTATGGGAGAAGATCAGAGTTGGATGTATCGTTGTCGAGATGAAATGGGGTATTGGAACAATGAATTTAATGCTGGGGTAGAGATTTTCTTAGATTTTGCATTCTCACAAATATACTCGATGTTTTGTGCAAAGAATATGATTTGGTGTCTGTGTAGTAAGTGTTGGAATAGAGAATGGCATCATTGACGCAAAGTGCAATCTCATCTTATTACGAATGGCTTCATGGATGGGTATTTTATTTGGAAAAGACACAGAGAAATTATTCATAGAAAACGGCGTTGCACCCAAGTGGGTGAATCATCAAGTGCCGCTGCTGCTGCTGCTATGAATAATGTTCCAAGTGTCGATCAACTCAGAGACATGCTTCATGGTGCCATGGGACCAAATTTTTTTAATAATGAAAATAGTGCCACAAGGGTAGAAGATGCAACACAATATGATGCTAGTTTTGATGATCCATATGGTGTTAGTACAGAATTGATATTTGAGGAACCAAGAAGAAACGCAAAAGAGTTCTTTGATCTTTTGCGAGTAGCTGATACACCTCTTTTTAAAGGGTGTGATGATAGTGTCACTGTCTTAAAGTGGGTGTTTGAGCTCATGAGTGCAAAAACACTTTTTAAGATAAGTGTTACTAATTGGGACTATGTGCTAAGGCGTAGTCTAATGGCCTTCAAAAAAGTTGATAGGGAGAAATTGCCAATAGATTATTATAGTGCCAAGAAGATGTTGAGGTGTCTCGGTCTTGGGTATAAAAGGTATGATGTTTGTGTGAACAATTACATTTTGTATTATGGAGAATATGAAAGTCGATGTTATTTACAGTGCCTGGTATGTGAAAAGCCACGATTTAAGCAGCGTGATGTGCATTCTGCTAAGCATATACCAAGAAAGTCTTTGTGGTATCTTCCAATTATTCCTAGACTTCAGAGATTGTATATGTCTAGGAAAACTGCCAAACATATGACTTGGCATTTAAATTGTTATAATGAAAATGAGAAAATTTTTCATCTTGCATGTGGAGAGACATGGAAGCATTTTGATAGCACTCACCTTGAGTTTGCTAGAGAACCAAGGAATGTTAGGTTAGGTTTGTGCATTGATGGGTTCACTCTTTTTGGACATTTTGCATCTCCATACTCTTGTTGGCCAGTATTTGTGTTAGTTTATAACCTGCCTCCAACAATGTGCATGAAGCAAGAATATGTATTCCTTTCATTGATTATCTAAGGTCCCCAAAGTCCTAGAAAGAATATTGATGTAATGCTTCGATCACTAATCGATGATTTAAAGCAGCTTTGGTATTCTGGAGTCCAAATTTATGACAGCTTTAGGTGTCAATACTTTCTGATGAGGGCTGCACTTATGTGGACCATTAGTGACTTACCTGGGTATGGAATGTTGTTTGGGTGGAGCACACATGGTAAATTAGCTTGTCTTTATTGCATGGAAATTCGAAGGCCTTTTGGTTGGAACATGGTCGGAAGACATCATTTTTTGACTGTCACTGACAGTTTTTGCCACCGGATCATCCATTTAGAAGAAACAAAAATGACTTCATAAAAGGTTGTACAGAGAATGGAACAATGCTAGAGAGATTGTCTGGTGATGAGATGCATAGTTGTATCCATTGGCTGCCTGATGTACCATTTGGTAAGCCACCTCAGAAACAGGAAATCCATGGATTTGGTGAAGTGCACAATTAGGTTAAAAAGAGCATCTTTTGGGAATTATAATATTGGCACACAAACTTGATTCGACACAATTTAGATGTCATGCACTGTGAGAAAAACCTTTTTGACAATATCCTTCATACAATAATGGATGACCTTATGACAAAAGATAACATAAATGCAAGACTTGATCTGGAATTGTATTGTAAAAGGAAAAGTCTACACATACAGGAAACAGGAGTGAATTCGGGTAAAAAGCCAAAGGCCACTTATGTTTTTAGTAGGGATCAAAGAAAATCAATATGTCAATGGTTAAAGGAACTTAAATTCCCTGATGGATTTGCCTCCAATATAGCTCGGTGTGTCAATACACAAGAGGCACGATTATTCGATATGAAAAGTCACGACTGTCACATTTTCATGCAAAGCCTTATACCAATTGCATTTCGTGATTTATTATCGAAACAAGTTTGGGAGCCACTTGTTGAGATTAGTGAGTTCTTTAGGGCCTTGTGTGCTTCAGTGATTCAAGTCAATGACATGGCAATATGGTAAGAGAGGATAGTAGAAGTCATTTGTAAGCTAGAGCGAATCTTTCCACCTTCATTCTTTGACAATATGAAGCATCTTGCAATCCACCTTCCATATGAGGCTCGTGTAGGAGGACCGGTGCAATTTCGATAGATGTATCCATTTGAGAGATAAATATAATTAATGTATAATATATGAAAATAAATATAACTCCAATTTGGTACTTCAACTTTCAATTTTATATCAAAGCTACCATTGAACTTAAAAAAGAATTCAAAATGGTCCTTGAAAGGACCATTTTGAAACTTTTTTAAATTTTGAGGGCATATTTGATATAAGCTTAGAAGTTGAGGTACCAAATTATTATTTTAATCATAACATAATTATGTAATAATTCTTGGTGAATTAGGTGAATGCATTGTCTTAAGTTGACAGTGAAAAACAAAGTGCGTCCTAAAGTATCCATATGTGAAAGTTACATAATATCTGAGATCACAAATTTTATCTCTTATTACTTTGATGATAGAGTACATAGTACAGTTGATAATCCCCCTAGAAATATTGTTGTTGGATTTGGTGATAATAGTGGCATATCCATCTCTAAATGTGTTGGAAAACGAATTGGTTCCAAAATTGGAAGACGTTGCTTGACGGTAGAGGAACACAAAGTTGCTTCGTTTTATGTGTTAATGAATTGCGAGGATGGGTCAGGTAAAAAACCTACGCTAAAATCTTTAATTTGTTATATTAAGATTTATTGAAATTAAAATACTAACAATATATAAAAAAATTATTATCATATTTTCTAGTTTATTTGAGAGAGAACAATATCAAAATATGAATCCTCAACAAATTCAAGGAAAACGAGAGACAGACCTTGTGCCCTGGTTTGAACAAGTTGTGAGTATTTAATAATATGACTATGCAATTTTTTAACATATATATGTTATTTCTCTTCAAATGCATCTAACATTTTCTTCTGCAATCTATATATTTAGGTAATTAGTGATGAGTTCATTAATGTCCATGAGCACATCAAAGGTTGATCCAACGGTCCAAAAAATTATGTTTCTTGCTATAATGGATATATTGTCAATGGATTTCGATTTCACATTGCCCTCTATGGTAGAAATAAGCAAACAATAAATTATGGTATCTGTGTTGTTAGATCTATTGGTACCGAATCAGATTATGATTTTCATGGTGTGCTTCAAGAAATAATTCAGATTGAGTATTATGGATCAATTGATCGACAGGCAGTTGTTTTATTCAAATGTGATTGGTACGAGATTCCCCCTGCTGAAAGGGTTCAAGTGGATCAAAAACATCGATTGGTTGACATTAATCCTAGAAGATACCTTCGATCTCATGAGCCTTTCATTCTTGCTAGTCAAGCAAGACAGGTTTATCACACACCATACCCATCTATTAATCATGAAAGAAGGGGATGGATTGCTGCACTTAAAATTAAAGTTATGAGTATCATTGAGGCTCCTGAGAATAAAGATGACCAACAAGAAGGATTGACACCATATTTTCAAGACAATGAGCCTCCTATTCCTTAACAAATAAATATTGATGACATTGCTTATGAACTTGTGCAATATTCTAATGGGAGGTTTATTGAAATACATGAAGAAGCTGATGTTGGAAAGGGGATTAGGGAAGAGGATGAAGAAGGAGAATGTGAAGATTTTGAGACATTAGAAGAAAAAAACATAGAAACATATGTTGAGAAGAATGATAGCAGTGATGAGTAGGCAATAATATTGAACTTATTGAAACTTATTATTATATTTATGGTTACTACTTGCTTATTTGTACTTTTATAATTATATTAGTTGTATTATATGTTATTTAATTTAAAATTGTATAACGTTAATATTACTTTCAAGTTAATATTTGCTTATTGATACTTCTATAATTGTATTAGTTGAAATAAAATTTATACGTTTATGTTTTTATCATATTATTAATTTTATATATTTTTTGTTAATATTTATAAATTTTTTTATTTATATTAATTATACTGTATGTTATTCAACTAAAATATAATTTGATTATTATTTGCTTATCTATAGAAATTAAAACTATTTTAATTTTTATTGTGATATTAATAGTAATTTATTTATTGCATTTAAATTACTTGCATTAATGATTTATTTTGCATTTGTTATATTTTTTTTTTATAGTGGATTGCTGTAGTTTTCACTGCATGAAAGCTATTGAATCCACCCAACCGTTACAATGGCCAAACCCATTTGACCCCCAGAGACAAGTTCAAGATGAGGTTCCTACTGATGTGGTTCTAAAGACTCCAGCTTCAGGTGCTGATATACAGGCTGAGTCTCCCAGTGATGAGGATACACCTGTGGCTACCCCTCAGCAGAGACAGGGATAGGGGTAAGCTAAGCTCGTGCAGATGCCTACAGATGGGACAAAGATCCCATTAGAGCTAGATGAGTTTGGTGGTTTGCCACAACAGGTCAAACGACAGATTGTGATCCAGTTGTAGGAGAATCTCCCAAATGCTTACACATCGTGGAGATAGGTCCTTCGTGAGCATTGGGACATGTATTGGAATATATTCAGTGTATGCCCTAAACACTTAATTTCTATCTACAAATTAGATATTTTCAATTTCTATCTTCAAATTTTAAGTAATTCAAATTTTTTTTGTTATTATCATTAATATTTTTGTTATTAAATTATTTATTTATTTATATGGCTATTATTTTTAGCAAACATATGAATGAGATCCTGTAATTGATAAGATTGTAAACGATTTATGGAACGTGACAGCAAGGATCAAGTTCAAGCATGCACTTAGTGAGTTGAAAGCTAAGTGTGCAAAAAGAAACTTTCAAGTTAAGCCTCTAGATATGAATCCAGAGTTATGGGCGAGGCTTGTTCATTTATGGACTAAGGTAATGGAGTAAATTCATGTGTTTATTATTATTTATTTTTTAATTTTCAATTGTAATATTTAATGTTTTTATCATATTACTAATTAAGAAAATATATGTGTTCACCACTTTTATAGGACGAGAGTCATTTGAGAAGGTCAAGTTCTGCAAGAGCTAATCGAGCAAAAGGATCGAGGGTGACGCATACCAGCGGTTCAATGGACGTTAATGTTTATAGAAAGAAAATGGTATAAAAATTAACATATTTTTAATGAATAATTAATGAATTATGATCTATAATTTATTTTATATTGATTTTAATATTTTCTCTTCTTTTTTTTCTTTACAGCAACAAGCAAACCCCGAGGGTTGTCCACCGACATTTCCTGAGGTCTACACCAATAGAAGGCAGTATAAAGGAAAAGGAAAAGATCAACTACCTATATATTGCAATGATGAGGCTCAAGAAATTGGAGTAACTGTTTAACTTAACAATTTTACTTTAAATTGTGTCATGAATTAATTGAAATTATTTTAGTTATAATATTGAAACTATTGTTCAATATAATTATTGGTAAAAAGTTAGAACTCCATCCTTTTAGGGGAGAGTAAATTGAATTTAGGTGCCTAAAGTGATATTTTAAATTTCACTTTAATTTTCAATACAATTAATTATTTATTTTGTCTTATATTATTTAAGAAAAAATTGACAGCTGAATATGCTGCTAGGCAAGAGGAAGAAGGATTTGACCCTACAATAGCTCATGGTGAGTTATTACTTAAGGCAACTGGTGGGGTCAAGAAAGGATGGCTGAAAGGTTTGGATATTCACACACATCCATAGAATATAGGTGTGAGCACATCTAGACGGGAACCATTCAAGCCACCCACCATAGAACAGTCTAATAGGATTATCGAATTAGACTAGATTGTTGAATCATTGAAGGCAGATAATAATAGCCTTCGACAATCACATATGACCCTTATGGCAGATAATGAGAGCCTACGGCAACAACAGTTGACCCTTGCTGCATAAATGCAGCAACTCTGCCAACATTTAGGGATGACTCCAACGGATACCAGTGGGATAGTCACCCTTAAGACACCCCGAGATATTTATGTTTTTCATATTTTAATTAAATAATTGTATTTACTTTATATTTGTAGTAGACATTGGAGACTTATATATTTATAGTAAATTAACAAAATTTTCTAGTATTTTATATGATAAATATCATACATTATGTGAAAATAATTTTACATTATCAAATATGTTAATTTAAGTATCAATTAAATTCTTTATATGTAAGAAATATTGAACTAAATGAAATACTTATACACAGATCGATTTTAATTAGTATAATAACAGTAATAAACACATTGCCCAAACTAGTATATACGGACCGATGCCAGTCCGTATATATCAAGGAAGGTAAAGCCAGCTGCAAAATTCTCACAATCGGCTCAGTAAAAAAAACAGAATGTTCGAAGCAGTCCAGCATCAGTCGGTTTTCATTACCCAGCCGGCTCACCTGACCCAAACTATTATATAGGGACCAATACCAATCCGTATATAACCTATGAGGATCAAGGCTAGTTAAGCCGGTTGCAAAATTTTTACAGCCAACTCAATCCAAAAAAACAAGATGTTTGAGGCAGTTCAGCACCAGCCGACTCAAAATATACAGACCGAAACTGGTCCGTATATGTCATTGTGATGATATACAGACTGGGATCGGTCCATATACACATAGAGACCCAACATAGAGCCTCAGTAGTATATACAGACCGTTATCGATCCATATATATCTTCGTAATATATATACAGACCAGTAACAATCCGTATATACTAGGACAACCAAAGGTTAGCCCACATATATATGGACCGATATCGGTCCGTATATATTGTGAGTGTGTTGTTGAGGC